CAGATCACAGTCAGCTGAAGTGGCCTGCAGTACTGCATCCTAACCACTGCGCCACCTCGGCTCTTAACCAAAGAGGAAATAGAATTCAAACCAGAACTATTTATTTCGGGAATCATAAACAATAAACATAACAAGGGGGTAATCTACTTAATCATACATATTATTACGGCAGCCCAAAAGTGGAAAAACAGGGAAATTCCACAAGAAGAGGAAGTAATTAGGAAAATTCTGATTTGTGCTGAAATGAATAAATTGACGTGGGAATTGAAGAACAAAGAGGAATCAGAATATTATAAGATCTGGGATAAATTTTCTATCAATGCTTGGAACAAAAAAGGAAAGACCCAAAATAGGTAATAACTAAGATTTATAGAATGGAGATTAGAATTATGTATGAAATCATAACAGTGAAAATGTATAAGAGAAGAACAAAGCAACATGGATATATATATAAGGACACGATATCCTTATATTTGTAAATACTGAACAGACCAATTGTAAATAAGCATGATGGTTATAATATTTAACTTTATATTCTAGTATGTATGGCAAGGACATTGTCTGGACGGTTACACAGTGTCCAATGTTTTAATGTGTGTTTAATTAAAAAAAACTTCTTTTAAAAAAACCATAAGCCGGTCAGGATTGAACTTCAAACGGTGAGCTGTGAGTTAGCCCCATGGCTCTGTCTACTATGAGTTGGTTACTTCTGGAAATCGTGATCAGTCCTTCTTTTAGGACTCGAAAATGTTCTAAGCTACCTTTCAACCTTCCTCCAAGTTCTGGATATTTTCCTCAACATTTTCATTAAATTAGATGAACGGGACAATGATTTTAACATAATGCCCCATGTGTCATGATGTGATTGCACGAACCTTAATTATTAACCCTTCCGCTATGACCTTATCAGATGTCATAATGGAAGAACTCTTTTTTTAATTTTGTTTATATAATCATATCATCTTTGCAGCATATTTTACATCTTTTACATATCTGCTGTATTTCCTTTGTCTGTACATATATATCTTATCTAACTATATCTATCTATCTATCTATCTATCTATCTATCTATCTATCTATCTATCTATCTATCTATCTATCTATCTATCTATCTATCTATCT